AGGGGTCAGGCTATTCCAGACACTGCAACACTATGGTACTCCTACAAACAAAATAACGAGCAGAATGATGTATTCTTTAATTAAACCCTGGACTGGGTCTTCCACTGGGATGGTTGTTTGTAACTTCATATACTTCAAAGGAACTAGATTGATTTACAGTGGCTGAGCAATTGGTCTTTTATTAAGGTATGCTTCTGTATATTGAAGTTATGTGCCTTACTTTTCATAGCCATAACCATAACATTGGTGAGACAGAAGTTATTCTAAACTCCATGAACAGGACAGTCAGCTTAAGTAGAGGAAAGGTGTATAGTATGGAGATGGTGTTTTCCCCTTCCTCCCCCCCTTTTTATTTTTTCAGTCATGGTGCAGTGTGATTTTTATTAAACATGGCTTCAGAGCGGGATAGAGTTGCTTGTGCTGAATTTTTTCATTGTTGTACCCTGAGAGCTTAATATACTATACTGTAGCCAGAACATACATTGGACATCTGTAAGATTTATCTCTTGTGCATTGTGGTACACCATATTATACCATGTTGTAGTTGCTTTCATGTCTGCATGCTTGCCAGCTTCAAAATTAAACGTGTTGTACACACCTCATTTTCAGCACCCCAGATGCAGGCACTTCCCTCTGTCTGTTTTTAATTTTCATTAAAAATATATATTTATTTTCTCCTTTTTTCTCACTCATTTGCAGCACCAGCATGTCCCTGTGTACTGCACAAACATAAAGAGTTCATATCTTTCTTTTGGCCCCTGAAGCAGAGCAGGTGTAAAACATACCTTTGACAGGCAAGCTGTCCCAAAGACATTAGGTCTCTCTCCTCTTCCAGAGAAACAGTGATAGCCTAAGCCTGTGTCTAAGAGCATGTGGACACCGAGAAAAGAAATAGTATGCTTGCCCCTGCTGTTCATGTCAGGTGTGGCAAAAGAGTTTTCGGAATTTTTTCCACCAAGGTCCAGCATCTGCTTAATTTAGTCTGGACTACTCTATTCCAAGCTCCCAGAAACAGACCTTAATAATGCACTGTGCAAAATACTTCTTAGAATCGTAGAATGGCGTGGATTGAAAAGGACTGTAAAGATCTTGTAGTTCCAGCCCCCCTTTCTCTAGGCCAGGTTTCTCAAACCTCTGTCCAGCCTGGTCTTGAACACTTCCAGGGATGGAGCATCTAGGCAATCTGCAACTTCTCTGGGCATTCTGTTCCAGTGCCTCACCACCCTCACAGTAAAGAATTTCTTCCTAATGTCTGATCTAAACCTACTCTCAGTTTGAAGCCATCCCCCCTTGTCCTGTCACTACATGCTCTTGTAAAGTCTCCCTCCCTCTTTCTTGTAGGCTCCCATCAGTTACTGAAAGGCCACAGTTAGGTCACCCTGAAACCTTTTCTTCTCCAGGCTGAGCAATCCCAAATGGTCATAGTCATCTTAGTGTTTCAATACATTGATGTTAGTGGTGTTACTTTAACAAATCTAGTATTACGGTAACATATTCTTTTCATGATTGATTTAAACAGGCTTAGAGAAACAATGCAAGTTTATATTTTGTTCTGGTTTAGGCCATGTTTGGGTAGAAAAGACAAATAGTCTCTGCCCAAGCCCATCTTAACAATCCCCTGCAGTTTGCTTGTTTAAGAACAGGTCTTACTTTAAGAAATATTATTGACTCAGAGAGAGCAACCCAAAAGATAAACTTGCAATCTGATGCCATAATATCTACTATTGGCAGAAATACAATTCTTTGAATAATGAATGAGCTCTTAACATCTGTCAGGTTGTTTGTTTTCTCAGGGGCCTGGTGATGGGGTTGCGTGCAATAACATGATGGCCTTCTGAGGAGCCTAGCTAAAATGGTTTCATCAGCTTGCAGGAACAACTAAGTAATTGGGCACACTTGGGGCTGTCCTAAAGGGCTCCCTTGTGGTTAGCAAATGCTTTCTAGCTAGTTCCAGTAAAGTGTGGAGCATTGAAACCTGAGTATTGTAGACTGCATCAGGGAACTTTGATAGACTTTTTGGAGAGACTGTGGGAGAGTTTGAGCATGGGTATCACCAGTAGAAGTTAGCATTAGGAATGGATGGGGAATCAACTTTTAGAAAAAGATATATAAATCTTTACTATTTATATACTGAATACCTTATAGAGGATTACCTTGGCAACCTGCCAGCTACACAGGAAGGTGTAAAGGTATGCAAAATTAACTAACTCCCCTTTTGGATGCAACCTGCATTTGGAGCCTAAATATTAGGACGTGATGCTATGGTAGTAAACCAATATTGCCTCAACCTTCAGTAGCATACCCTTTAGAAAGGTACCTTTATTTTTTCCTGTATTCTGAAGCTCTCTATGAGATGCTTACATTGAGAAAATAATCCTTAATGTCTTACAGCAGCAATAGAAATGTTTTCAGATGATGCAGTTTAAGCTCTATTTTCCTTTTCTTCAATAAATTTTCATTTCAAATTTTGGTGACATAAATGACCAGTTACATTTTGAAGAATGTGCTTCAAATGTTTCTGCTCTGGCTGAGCTCATAAATTATTTGGCAGTCTCAAAAAATGTCTTTGCCTTCCCCAAGGAGCTGTATAACAACCTCTTACTCTCTTTCCAAGCCAGTAGTATTCCGGAGTGAATCTTCCACCTGCTTCGGAGCACACTGGAATTAACAGCAAGACTGTGAGTTGCAATTATGTTAGGCATTAAAGCATAGCTTATGTACATTCCAGTACAAAATTTCTTTGTACCAAGACAAAATACAAAATACATCTTAAGGAGTAAATACACTGCCTAGTAAATTGCTTGCATAAAGGGAAGGTCCCCAGCTGTTCTTGCAGTCTTCTTCCTAGTCTGGTCTACAAGCACTGCTGGCACAACGCAGCAGTAACATCTTTCTTGCTGTCTCTCCTCTTGTAGAAATCTCTGGCCAAAATATCCCTTTGCATTGAGTTTCAAATCATCATGTCACCCTGCTGCTGATTGCTTCTGTTTAGTCACTTTGCTGTGCAAAGGCTAATTCTGCCTGCCTTCGTCATGACCAGTGTAGGCTTTCACGTCACAGAATTACAGAGTATGCTGAGTTGGAAGGGACCCACAGGGATCATCGAGTCCAACCCTTAGCCCTGCACAGGATCATCTCCAAGAGTCACACCATGCACCCAAGAGTATCACCCAAATGCTTCTTGAACTCTGTCAGGCTCGGTGCTGTGACCACTTCCCTGGGGAGCCTCTTCCAGTGCCCAACCACCCTCTGGGTGAAGAACCTCTTTCTAATATCCAACCTAAACCTCCCCTGACACAACTTCGAGCATTCCCTTAGGTCCTGTCACTGGTCACCACAGGGAAGAGATCAGTGTCTGCTCCTCCTCTTCCCCTCGTGAGGAAGTTGTAACTGCAATGAGGTCTTCCCTCAGACTCCTCTTCTCCAGGCTGAACAGACCAAGTGACCTCAGGCGCTCCTCATACGGCTTCCCCTCAAGGCCCTTCACCATTTTCACCCTCCTTTGGACACTCTCTAATAGCTTCATGTCTTTCTTATATTGTGGTGACCAAACATCCTCTGAGTCAAACAGAGGTTTGAGAGGGCTACATGGCTTACAAGGGCCTTTGAGAAAGGCAAGAAGCTGAAGAGAGTTGAATTCAGAATGAATGCACTTCTTAGCAGACGCTGAGAACAGATTTTTTTCAACGGATTTACCTGTTGCTGTGTTTTACTTGAAGTGATTATACACCAAGGAATGCCAGTATTGTTTTTGTTTTGTTGTTCCTTTTCTCCTAAGAGAGCTATTCTAGCTCCATAATTTATGTGCTTGGTGCAGAATTTGCTGTGTGAGGTTCTTTGGGTTATGTGGGAAGTCAGATTTGATTATTTTAATAATAAATTTTAGCCAGTTTGGAATATCCGGTGGGTTGAGCACCTCTTGCTTTTTCCAGTGTATACAAGAGAAAGATCTGGAAAGCAATCTTGTCAGTACTAAATGAATTTGTGTGACTTAAAGCACTGGAGTTCAGACCATTTCTCATAAATTAAATGAGAAGTACTGGTTAAATTAGCACAGAGTGTGATAAAACTGCAACATATCATGTCATTAGACTGCTTTACACAGTGACTGGAACATTGCCAGTTTAAATAAACTTTGTACGTCTATTTGAAAGCATGTCTCTGTGCATGGTGGCTATTTAGTCCTTTAAACTTTTATGGTATTGTTTTTAGAAATGTAGCCAACTTATTAACGTATGTACTATAACTCCTGAATGTTTGTTTGGGTTTAACACCTTATTTTGATTTGATAAAGAATTAAAAAAATCTTCCTAATGATTTGGTTGTTCTTTTATTTTTTTTTAAACTTTCTGTTCTGACATTAATGTTGATCTTAATGCCATGTCTGTTCAAAAGAGTACAGGGAATAATGCTTGGGAATTAAGTAGCCTATGTCTTGTTTTGACGGCTAAAATTCTGCAGTTCACCTCACTTTTGAGTCATTGCCGTAAAATGAGAAGAGTGTTCAGCAACCTTTATAAATTACCGATGGATTTGGATGTAAAGACCTGTACAAGAGCAAAAGTACTTATTATAATAGCAGAGAGATCTAGAGGTGGCATTTACTGTTAAAAAGAGAAGATAGTTTAATTGCCTGCACCACGGTTATAAGCAGTAAGGACTAAGAGAGCAAGAACAGTGTTTGGGAGTATTTCTTGGGGTCTCTGGGACAACAGCTGAGAAGTCACCAAAGATGTCCATACAATTCTGACCTCTCAGTGAAAAATACTTGTTATGCCATGGCGCACTGTGGTGTGCTGTGCTGTGGTTGTTATTCATCATGTACCTAAACCTGAAGCAGTAATTATGTATGCTCTGTTGAAGGTGAAGCTGCACTAGAATAAAATGCATGTTTTAAAGACAGGAACTTTTTTCTGCAGACATGCTGTCCCACTTGGTGATGATGGTCAGGGCAAACTTTTTATGACTGAGTAGTTTCTAATTCTCTTTTGTTCTTGCAGGTCAAGCCAGTTACTCACAGTAGAATCACTGTGTCAGCACGGTTTCGAAAGCCACTCCAGGAGCCCTACACTATTTTGTAAGTAGCATTTTCAGTTAGTGAACTGCCATTTCAGAGGTGGTGGTGGTGTGTTCATTTCAGGTGAGTTTTGTTTAAAATGCTCCTCCAATTTATTTTACTTTGCTTTGTTTCAGCCTGGTTGCTAACGGAGACCTTATTAGCCCTGCAGTGCGCCTCCTCATTCCCAGGAAAACACTGAATCACTGGGATCATATTCTTGAAATGGTTACAGGAAAAGTTACCCTCAGAAGTGGAGCTGTTCACAGGTATCAGGAAGCTGAATATTTGCAAATTACATTTAATACACCTAGATATGTTTTTAAGACTCCATGGGTAGATATAATGGATTATTCCTACTTCATGGGAAATTCCACTATAAGAAAATTAAAATACATCAAAAAGCCACAAGGTTGAAATAGATCAAGTAACTTTCAGGTTTCATTTCAACTGCTGTTTAAAAAAAGAATAACCTGAATTTGTTTCAACTGTTATTTCTTATTAATATTTATTAATTAAATATTTAGTTAACAGGCCTGTAATAATACAATAATAATGCAATATATTTAGTACTAATAATTAAGCTACATATTATAATAAAATAAATGAGCATGGTAAAGTTGGTGAAGATGTTTCGAATGAGCGATACATGCACTCTGTGTTACCTTTTAATTTTGATAGTTCTTTAAATTAATTGGATTAAACAATTTCAAGAAAAATATTATGGATTCTTTGGGTTTTGTGTACCTGGGCTAAGACTAGGATGTGCTTTATACTCAGTCTGCTCAGCCCCCTAATAAAAGCCAAGGCTAAAGTTGTAGTTGGGAGTTTGCCAGTTCCAGTATCTCATCTGTTCTGAGTTGTTGTGGTACCTCAGGAATAGGAGGTGACCTGTTGGATAGAGAAGCCCCTTAAGGCTTTTACAATGTAAAATAAGTTATCTAAAATGGTATTAGGTGACTGTTACAAGTTTTAGAGCAAAATGATACATGTGATGTCCATGAGAAACATTGCAGTGTAGGTGGGCTGCCAAAGTGTATACAAGCAAATTGCTGACATTCCAATGCTGCCCCATGCAGAGCACATTACAGAAATCTGTTCCTCAGGTGGGAAAGGGTCTTTTGTGGAAAATCATTCTTCAAAGCTTATGCAATGTCTGAGGCTAAGTTTGCAAAAGCTTTCTCAAATCAGTGAAGAAAAGGTAGTCTTTCAGTTCTTCTGATTGCTTTCCCTGAGCTGATACAGGTGAGAAAAGATAAAGGTAATGCTATCAGTGGGCTATTAGCTCTTATCTAGTTCTTTCTCTTAGCCCTGCATTTCTTTGCTCCAATTAGCACTTTTACTTGCAGTAAAGTAAACCTACACCTGTTGCAGCTTTCTGGGTCTGATTCTCAGCTGGTGTAACTCAGAAGTGAACAAAGCAACAACAGCCCTTTACATGATATCAATTCTTTCTGCACTCAGCTTGTTTACAATTTAAAACTCATTTTATTATTGTTCGTTGGTGTCACTCTTTGGTGAAACTCATGTACATGAAAGCATTCAATATATAACTAGGATTTCTTTTGAGAAGTTCCCTTCAGTGCTCAGTTTTAACCCTTTAAAAATAAGATAATCTACATGACATTTTGAATTATTTAATGTTTTCCCTTTGCTGGTTTTCTATTAACTCAGTTTTCATTTTCTTTTCCTTAAAATACTAGAAATACATATTAAATACGTTAGTTAAGTGATCGTTGTTCTCTAATAAGTTACACATTAGTTGTTGTGGCTTACTGAAACTATGTTAGTGTTAGGGGAGGTCTGGTAAGACCACTGATGGTGGGAAGATATGATTTCTCTTTAAAGAAGGATAAGTGGACTTATGAGAACCTGCATTATGTATATGGAAGTTTTTCTTTTCCATGTTTTTAAAAGGCTTGCAAAGCTGCCAAGTCTTAGGCAGTTTCACATGTGGCTTTTTAAAAAAGAAATTATTGATCACCCCCATCTGAATAGGGATGTAAGGAAGAACTATGAGAGAGGAGACAATGAGAAAGCAGCTTTTCTGCTTGCCAGATCATGCATGGGGATGAGGTACAGCAACCTAATGGGCAGGCCCAAGATGGTGTTTTGAGCAGTGGCCTGGTTTACAGGATATGTTTCCAGCCAGCCAGTTGTTGCTTCCACCATGGTGAGTATGTAGCTCTTGCCTTGGCATGTTCGTGGCACTGGTCCAATGTAGTCAGTTTGCCAGGCCTCACGATATTGGAAACCCAGCCACCGCCCTCTATTCCAGGGAGATTCTACTCGCATGGCTTACTTAATTGCCGCACACATTTCACATTCATGAATAACCTGTGTGATGGCCTCCATGGTCAGATCCACCCCGTGATCATGAGCCCATCTGTATGTTGCATCTCTTCCTAGATGTCCTGGTGTTTCATGAGCCCATCGGGCTGTAAATAGCTTGCCCTTCTGCTCCCAGTCCAAGTCTACCCGGGCTATTCCAACCTTGGCAGCCTTATCCACCTGCTTATTGTTCTGATGTTCTTCAGTCGCACAACTTTTGGGCATGTGAACACCGACATGACGCACCTTCAGCATCATGTGTTCCACTCATGCAGTGATGTCCTGCCACAATGCAGCAGCCCAGATGGCTTTACCCCTGCGTTGCCAACTGGCTGCCATCCATTGCTCTAGCCACCCCCATAGGGCATTAGCCACCATCCAGGAGTCAGTATGGAGGTATAGTACAGGCCACTTTTCTCATTCGGCTATCTCTAGGGCTAGCTGGATGGCTTTCACTTCTGCAAACTGGCTTGACTCACCCTCTCCTTCAGCAGCTTCAACGACCCATCGTGTGGGACTCCACACAGCACCTTTCCACCTCCGATGGTTTCCTACCACATGGCAAGATCCATCAGTAAGTAGGGCATTGCCTCTTTTATTTTCTGGTAACTCATTATATGGTGTTGCCTCTTGGGCATGAGTCACTTCTTCAGGCAATGCTCCAAAATCTCTGCCTTCTGGCCAGTACATAATCTCCTCCAGGATTCCCAGGAAATTGGGTTTTCCCATTTGGACTCACTGTGTGATCAAAACTACCCACTTACTCCATGTAGCACTGATTACATGATGTGTTGAGGGGATGTTCTCTTTGAACATCCAGTGCAGCACGGGCAAACGCGGTGCCAACAGGAGACACGCTTCTGTCACAACAACTTCTGAGACGACTTGAAGCCCCTCATAGGCTGCTAATATCTCCTTTTCAGTTGGTGTGTAGTGGGCTTCTAATCCTTGATAACCCCAGCTCCAAAACCCTAATGGTCGACCTCAGGTTTCTGCTGGTGTTCTCTGCCAGTGGCTCCAGGTGAGACCATGCTCCCCAGCTGCCGTGTAGAGGATATTTCACACAGCTGGTCCTGTTCGAACAGGCCCCAGAGCTACTGCACGGGCTGTCTCCTGTTTGATCTGCTCAAAGGCCTATTGTTGCTCAAGGCCCCACTCAAAATGGTTCTTCTTCCAGGTTACTCAACAGAGGGGGCTCACAAGCTGACTATAACCTGGAATGTGCATTTGCCAGAAACCCACAAGGCCTAGGAAAGCTTGTGTTTCCTTCTTGTTAGCCAGTGGAGACATAGATGCTGTTATGTTCACTACATCCATGGGCACATGATGGCGTCCATCCTGCCATTTTATTCCCAAGAACTGGATCTCCTGTTCAGGTCCCTCTACCTTACTTTGTTTTATGGCAAGACCAGCTTTGAGAAGAATTTGGATTATTTTCCTCCCTTTCTCAAAAAGTTATTCTGCTGTCTTGCCCGCCCCACACAATGATATCATCAATATATTTCAGGTGCTCTGGAGCTCCCCCCTGTTCCAGTGCTGTCTGGATCAGTCCATGGCAGATGGTTGGACTGTGTTTCCACCCTTGGGGCAGTCAATTCCAGGTATACTGGACACCCCTCCAGGTGAAGGCAAACTGTGGCCTGCACTCTGTTGCCAGAGGAATGGAGAAAAATGCATTGGTGATATCAATAGTGGCGTACCATTCGGCTGCCTTTGACTCCAGCTCATACTGACGTTCCAACGGGTCTGGCACAGCAGCTCTCAGAGGTAGCATGACTTCATTCAGGCCATGATAGTCCACTGTCAACCTTCACTCCCCATTAGACTTCTGCACTGGCCATATGGGGCTGTTTAAGTGTGAGCAGGTCCTGCTGATCATTCCTTGTTTCTCCAGTCGAGGAATGAGCTCATGGAAGGGAATTATGGAGTCTTGGTGTGATATTGCTGTTGGTGCACTGTTCTGGTGGAAATTGGCACTTGTTGGTCTTCAGCTTGCAGCAATCCCATGATGAAAGGATCTTCTGAGAGGCCAGGCATGGTAGATAATTGTTTGATCTTCTCTGTAGTCATGGTTGCTACACCAAAAGCCCATCCGATACCCTTTTGGATCTTTGAAGAATCTCCTCCTGAGGTAATTGATGCCAAGGATACAAGGGTCCTCTGGGCCAGTCACAATGGTGTGCTTTTCCCATTTGTCCCCTGTTAAACTCACTTCAGCCTCTAATAGAAAAGTCCCGTCATCCCCCTGTCACAAGATGGTTCTGCACTTCTGTGCCTCGATGACATCAGTGTGCGCTGTGCACCAGTATCCACCAAAGCTATTACCTCTGTGGATCCAGTATGCCAGGCCATCAAATCCACACAGTCCACTAGGCCCAATCATCCCTTTCCTTCTCCTGGCCAAAGGCAGGGACCCTCTATTTCTGTTCCTGGTCAGAGTATTCATTGTCTGACCTTTGCGATGCCAGATCAGAGGTCCCCTCACCAGGATCAGAGGAGTTGATCTCAGTCCTTTTATGTCTGAGAGGTTACTGATTTATTTCTTGGGTCTCTGCAGCAACTACATGGACAGTTTCTTAACAGTTCTCTTCCCTCTTAATTCATGTATTCAGGCTTCCAGCTTAGAGGTGGGTTCACCATCCCACTTCTTCATGTCTTCCTCCTGGTCATGCAGAAAGAACCAGAGTTCACCACATGGCCTGCACTTGGGGCTTCCTTTCCCTCTGACTGGGGCAGGAGGGGACTGATCTCTTGGTCTGCCCCTGAGAGATGAGGTGCTGGCCTGTGGGAATGAGGAAGTGCCCAGAGTTTCTTCTACATTTCAGAGCCAGGAGGACATCACCTTTACAGGTGGATCCATCTTTGAGTAATATATTGTTACCAGGCTGGTGGAATATGATGCAAGGGTGCTTTGAACCACCTTCGTCCACATGGCCATTGTGCAAGGAACATCCTCTGGATCTTTGGGGTAGTCATCCCTTCTTAGGTTACTATAGATGATTTCCAGCACTGCTAATTCTGTCAAGTACTGGATACCTTCATCTGCAGTGGCCCACTTTCTTGGGGAGTTCCTTAGATCTTCCTTGAATGGATACCTTTCCCTCACGCTTGAGAGGAGCCATCTCCAAAGACTGCAAATTGTTCTCTCCTTTCTAATTCCTCTTTCAATTTTGTGATCTCTAGCAAGGAATCCCAGCTGTTGGGCTTCATGACCTTCCAGTTGCTGACTATCAAAAACCCACAGTCGTGTTTGTATATACCCCTATATACCTGCAGATGTATAAGCAATTCTTAAACTGTAGTACACTGATTTGCTGTTTTTTCCCCTGAGTTCTCCAAAGCAAAATGCAATCTAGCAGAACACTGTGTGACTAATTCAGAAGTAGGCTTCTTGCTGGTTTTCAGATTGCTTATTCTATTTTCATTGTTTGTGTGTAACTGATGTTGACTGTGTGGTAGTGAAACATAAATTGCTCTTTGAATTGCTGGCATGCCTGTGAAACATTTACACTATAAAGTAAATTTGAGTGATACAAATGGGGTGCTTCAGAGTTAGCATACCTCTTCAGAAGGAAGAAGCAATGTGATCAAGATTTTTAAAAGCTGCAGTTTCACCATCCAGAACTTCCAGTCTTTGCATTTAGAAACTCTAGGTGCTTCCGTACCTCTCTGTGGCAGGAGAAACATATCATTAGGATACTTTCATGAGGTTAATATAAAAAAGACATGGACACACTGGAGCAAGTGCAGCAAAGGGCCATGAAGATGAAGGGGTTGAAGATACTTGTCATGTGAGGAGAGCTGGCACTCTGCGTCCTGAGGTAAAGTCTAAGGGAAATCTTTTGAATGTGTATAAATGCCTGGTGGGAATGAGTGAAGAAGTCAGAGCCAGGCTCTTCTCAGTGGTGCTCAGTGACAGGACAAGAGGCAATAGGCACAAACTCAAGTACAGGAAATTCCTGCACAGAAAAAAAAATAAATATTTGCTGTAAGGGTCATCAAATACTGGAAAATGTTGCCCAGAGAGGCTGTAGAGTCTCTATCCTTGCAGGTATTCAAAAAACATCTGGACACAGTCCAGAGCAACCTACTTTAGTTGCTCTTGCTCTACATGGAGTGGGCAGACTTGATGGTATCCAGAGCTCTTGTTCAACCTCAGTTATTGTGTGATTCCCGGTTCTGTAAATTGCATGGGTTTTTTCTGTGTTTATTCAAGGTTATGCCACCATATGTATCAACTGAAACAGTTTTTTATCTATTAAACATAAATGTTTTGCACGTTATAGGTCAGGGGTGTACTCAAGGTAGGCTCTTGCTATTCTTCCCAAAATGTTTATTGTACAGGTGTATATATCATTTCATGTCTCCTTGCACTGTGTTGAAATTTATGACTAACACATACAGTAGCTCCTGTAGAAGGCTTCTAGAAAGGCATCTAAGACAGCCATTCAATATTCCTGCATGTAAGACTTAAATGAAAGCTGTTATTGTTGGCTTTTAAATGAAATATAAATATTGTTAAGTTTTGGAATATGCTTCATAGGAAAGAGCTAATTTGTTATTGAGTGTTCCCTCTTTACTTATTGTTTTGACTATTCTTAAATCAAATCACAAACTCCACAATGAAGTAAATAATGTGTTGCCACCTGCTTCCACCCATCTCTCCCTGCCAATCCTTGATACTTTTTTTCTTCTCAAACAGAAATCATTGTGGTAAAAATCTACTTGGCATAATAGACATATTATTATTGGTATTATTGATAGGTGCCTAAGACACAGCTTCTTGTTATAATGTAGTGCTGCATTGACTGCTACTTCCAGCCTTACCCCACCAGGTACAGCTGTTTTCCGACCTTCCGATCAATACAATATAAGGGCAATATTATCTCTTTGTTCTGTATTAGGTGAACAGGTCCTTGGTTTTCAGATGTGAATGCTCTGTTCTTCCTAGGGTGCCCAGAGCAAAGATGGAGGGTGGAACTTGGTATGAGGGGTGGTCAGGAACTCATGGAATAGATGCGTTCCAAGGTATCAGGGGAAAGGCATTGAAGACCTTATAAGTACAAGGTCATTTATTTAATTTTAGAAATTCTGAGAGTATTTCATCTATCATACCACTTCATACATCATTAGTTTTATATAAACTGTGATTAAATAATTATTTTGCTCTATTTTTCCTTGGTTTTGGGGGTGCTTTTTTTTTTTTTTTTTGTAGCTACTGACCATTGCATGGCATGCACTGTACTTTATTGGGTTTCATAGCTGGAAATTCAAATTAAGCATTTTCGTATTTTTCAGACTTTACACTTCAGATGGAAAACTTGTTCAGAATGGGTCAGAGCTGGAGAATGGGCAAATTTATGTTGCAGTGGGTAGGGAAAAGTTTAAGAAGTTGCCATATGGTGATCTGCTGTTTAGCAAATCTACAATGAGAAGACCACAGGGGTAAGTTCTAAAAGTGTGTGATATACTTCTCGTGTGTTTGTGTGTGTCAATTTTTTTATGAAGTGCAGCAAAGTACAAAAGATGGGTGAGTTAGTATGGGTGCAAAACCTTATTGGCAACTTCTGGGAAAGTTGAGATAACAAAAACAAAAGCAAAAATGGAAATTCAGAGGACTAATTCATCTCATAAATGTTCCGTGATCATGTATCACAAAATTGGTGTCAGAGAAAGGATTATTTTGACTTGGCTTAAATTATTTTTTTCCTGAAAAAAAAAAAAAGAGCGCAGCTGAATGAGACTAGGTGCTGCTAAAGCAGTTTATATATACTTTTGCTTAGTAATGTTTTGTGGAATATGTACTCCCTTGAGATTGCTTTATGTTTGGGTCTATTTTTTGTAGGCTAGAACAGTGACTTTATAATAGAGTTGTAAACTGCGTGTCTGTTAGGAGAAGCTTACGCTTTTCGTATCTTTGGAAAACATGAAAATTGGGAGCCATTTCTTTGAAATAAATGTAAAGAATGGAACTTTGTCCCATAAACTGGGGTAGTTCAGAGAATTTACCCAAATTCTGCAGATGAACTAGAGTATAATGTATATTTCTTTTTTTTTTTTTTAGTGAGCAACTAGTCGACAGTGTGAATAACTCAAAAGTACTTTGGGAAACAGCATTTGAATTTAGGATAGTGAAAAGTTATGTTCATCAATTATGTAAACAGTTTTGTTGAAATTGCTGGAACTTTTCATTGCAATCGTTGTAGGGAGCATTCACATAGTAATTCACTGAATACTGCTCTATAAATTCACGGTATATAAAATATGCATTGTGGGGAAATGTAATGCACTTGTGTGAATAAGTTAATGGTTATGCATAATAGTCTAGCGAACAAGAATGAGTGATTCTTAGTAAAAACATGCAATGAAAAAAACAATTAGTTTTGTTGCATAGCCATCTTGGTGTTACCTGACTTGATTATTGATACATAGTGTCTATGATGGTGATAGTGTACACAGTTCTAAGATATGGCTTATTTCTGCAGTTCCAAAGCCTCTGTACTACCTCCAATTGTGGGAACTCGAAAGTCTAAAGGCAGCGTAAGTATCAAGTGTCTAATTTTGCTGAATTCTGGAAAATGGAAAATCCCTGTCCTTTGAGTTTTGATTAAATCTGTACAGAAAAAGATCCGGAGCCACCTGGTGGTGTTCTTGATGAATCTGTAGCTATATGCAGTGTCAATTACACTAAAGGAATCAGAGAAAATATTATTGCAATAAAGGCTGCTTTTTTAAATTGTAATAAAACCTTGAATAGCAAAGATCAGCTACTGCCTTGAGGTCTTTCCTATAAACATGATCAGATATATCCGTGTATTTATTTATTTATTTATTCAAGTTATACACCTAGAGGAAAAACACAGAACCTTTTACAAAACATCTTGCAGAAAATCTTGTTATTGCATTCTGAGTCTGAATAAGGCCCTAAACCGGCCTCCAATCTGGCGTGTTTTTTCCTAGGTAACCATTAAATACAGAGCTTCATCCTCCACTGCTTTGTACCCTATATAGCTATTTTTGTTTGTGCAAAATGAGTCATAGAATCAATAAGGGTTGGAAAAGACCTCTAAGATCATCAAGTCCAACCTTTGACCGATCAGCACCACATCAACTAAACCATAGCACGAAGTGCCATGTCCAGTTCTTTCTTGAACGCTTCCAGGAATGGTGACTCCACCACTTCCTTGGGCAGACTGTTCCAGTACTTAATCATCCTTTCAGTAAAGAAATATTTCCTTATGTCCAACCTGAACCTCTCCTGGTGCAGCTTGAGGCAATTTCCTTTTGTCCTGTTGCTAGTTCATTGGGAGAAGAGGCTGACCCTCACCTTACTACAACAAGGGTCCTCTGTGAATTTAAAACAGAGCCAAAAGACAATATAAGTATCTGTTTCCACCAATTCTGTGCAAGTGCAATTTACTGTACAAGTACAAGACAGCAGGGAGTCAGACTTACAGTCTCTCATTAAAATCAGGGTAGTTGATCATGTCCATTCATTGTTTACAAAACAAACAAACAAAAATCCCTGGAGCCACTAAAAAGAAATAAGCAATAAAATATATAAGTGTCTGTTCCATTCTGTTGGAATTCAGTAGAAGATAAAACTTCAGTAAAAAACATACTTTCAAGTGTTGTTTGGTTTTAAAATGTGAGCTTTGAATTTGTAAAAACAACTTATTAACAGTTCTAGCTTCTTGCCTCTTCTCCTATTGCTTAACAACAGGTACAGAAATTTATTTAATATTCAATTCTATTGCATTGGGATTGACACTTGATAAAAAGTGTCAAAACTTAAGGAAACGGGAATATGTACTACTGCTCTTAAATATCTAATGCAGCACTTGAACTGGTATGAATCATGCAATTGTTTGCTTCAATTTGATGTCTACACTTCTTTAATATTATTTCTTGGCAGTAGCAGTCTCCACTTTGAATCTGAAGAGATTTGAATGTTGCCATGTACTCGTTTCTCTTTATAGAGAAAGGATAAGTGGTAGATTTAGATGCTATTGGTAGATAAATGGTAGATCAGATGGTAAAAGCAAGATGGTATTTAAGGAAGATATTTTTGATAGAACTGATTTCTGCTGATTATGTGAAAACTAGAAGAATCACATAAACATGTAGTAGTGTATGCAGAACTTTTAAAGAAATGTGGGATTTTGTTCAGGACTTATTTTTCTGAAAGATTTTAATTCTATATACTGTCACCTCTTAACTTTAGCACTGAGGTGAAAGGAATTGTCCATGACCATTGCAGAATGAAAGGCCTTTCTGGTGTGCAGTTTCTAAAATGGCATGAATTGCTCATGCAGCTACACTAAGTGAAACAATGAAGTAGAATATACTGATCTTTTGTCATTCAGATAAGTCTGTGATAAGGTGAATTGTTCCAGATATCGACAAGGTTTTCTGCCTGACCTGCTTGAGTGTTTTGTTGTTATATGGAGTGTTTTGACAGAACTGGATTAGAAAGAAACTTCTGAGGGGCAATAATGAGGGCGTTCAGTTGGTAAAGTCTTTACACAGCCTAGAACAATACAAACAGCACCCTAAAGGGCTGCTATAGACAGTTCAGTTTTTCCTGATGTTGATTGCGAACAGATCTAGACTGATGAAAAAATGTGCATAAATAATAAAATCCCTGGCTAGAACACCCAGGATCATACATGCATCAAAGCTGTAAAAATAAGGGACAGGTTTCTGGTTCTGTTTCTAGAAGAGCACAGTGGAAGCAGGGGAACTGGCTGATGTCCTTGAAGATGATTCAGAGGTGAGGTGTGCACAAACCCCTTTCTTAGTGTCTACTTGGCAGTCAGTGTTATTGCCACAAAAAGATTGTGATTCTCCTCCAGCTTCTCTTGACACTTAAAATAATGCCCGTCTCATTTAAACAGACAGTGACTTATTAACAACTTGGATACGTTATATCTTGTGACTTTCCACACATGTGGAGGACATATAGCTGTATATAGTATGCGTGTATGCATATATTAATTCTTTTCATTAAATGAAGCATTATTTTCTTCTAATAAATATTTTCTCCTGGGAGTTGTTGAAAAGAATTTAATCAGTCCGATCATACAGTAAGTTGATAAGATAGTTATGCTTTTCTGAATAATTTAAGATATAACTTGAATGTACTGCTTGTAAATTAATATGCTTCTTTAATACCTCATGTCAGTCCTTATTTAAATTAAAAAAATAAACTTTGTAATTTGCATCAGTGATAGTTATGTACAGTTCTTTTCAGGGAAATGATCTGCAATCTAAATCTACTGCTGGGTCCAGTGACCGGGGAGAAACCTGTTCCTCACCTCATCTTCCCAAAGGGAAAGACAAAAAAAGCCAGAATCCAGAGAATTCTGTGTCCAGACGACACTTTCCTAACAACTCTACAGAAGTAAAACAGACAGAAACAGCCTCCGCAGGAGTCCTTCAATATAATGGTCAGTATTGAGATATCTTCAGTTAAAACAGTGAAATAGTAGAATAATATGTTACATAGCTCTTGAATTGTCTATTTACTCTGGTCAACTGAAATTGCAAAAATTTTTTCTGCTTAGGAAATGCACCTGTGATTAACTGCTACATTTCTGGCTTCATTTACATACCATAGGAGGCTGTGTGTGATTTTTAGTATACCTTGGAAGTTAAGATGATATGGTACTATCTTTATGCTTTTCGCAAAGCAAAATAAAAACCATATTTTGGTTGTTTTTCTGCTGTTCTGCCCTGCAAGAAGAAGAATAGGAGCTGGTCTTCTCCAAGGACACCTTGCTGTCCCTGATGATCCCTGGTTAGCTGTCTTGTTTTGTGTAACAAAATGACTGGACCCTGGGGGAATAACGCAAACACAAACTCCAGTTAGTGAATAGCTACTGACACCAGTCATACAGCAGAGCTGCTACTGGTCCTTTCAGAATTTGCCCCCCACTGTGCTGTGACAGCAGTGACAGCAATGTACAAATTTAGTTTCGTACATTGTTTGTCTTATCTTTTGGTGTGATATTCCCCTTCACCCCCATTTTTTTTTTTAAGGGCTAGAAGTCTGACCCCTCACTGTTGCCGTGCTGGGATGGCTATTCTTCCTCATTAGTAATACTTCTAGACACCTGTAATACAGACCAGTTAGTATCTGTCAGAAGAAATAAATTATACTTTCCATAACATTTGAAATTTCTTCTCACTGCTGTCTAAATGTTAATAATCAAGTGTACGATAACAATTCGTGGTCTAAAACTTCAGTATATGTCATCCAACAGCACGGTTTTGTACCTTTGTCTAGAATCACGAGTTGTAAAATTTGAGTCAGGAGCACTTTTGTAAATTTGAGTTTTAAAAGATCAGTGAAATATAGTCTTTTGTAATATAACTGTGTTCTCAGGAGTTAGCTTGTAGAATTTCAGGTTTAGTCTTGATTCAACTACTGTTCAGTCTGGTACAATCAAATACTATTCTAGCTGGTTAGTAATTTTAGCCAATTTTTTTCAGTCAAGTTTTTTTCTTACAAGAACGATGATTATGTTATAATGAAAGTGACTGAAAACATTTGTCTTCTATAGCTCTTGAAACGTGTGAATATATTCTTCTCCTTGAAATTGTCATGGCATGTTCCCAGTTCTTACAGATTGAGTGGTGCACGCTAAAAACATAGGAGGAAGAGACTACCAGAGAAGACCTCTCGGGGACGGTTTTGCATTCTTGGCTTACAATTTTTAAAGGCTCAGAATCGTTTCCTAAGATGCAAACAATGCAGGAAAAGGCTTTTATATTTAGGCTGTTGTCCACCCTCAACTGTTGTTTTCTTTTTTTTCTTTTTTTTTTTTTTAAGACAGGTGAATTGACTGCTGTTGGGGAATATACACGAGTTTAAAATCCATATGTTCTGATCTAGTCTCCTGTTCAGAGTACTGAACTGCTCTGAATCTCTATGTGTGACTAGAAAGATCTAGGTCAGACCTCTCACCTTAAGAATAGCCAAGGCACATAACTTTTTCTGATAGGTATAGTGCCATTATGGTGATCTTCTATATGCTATTTTTTCAGGCCTGAGAGTATTTTTAAGTAAAGTTTCTACAGATGTTTTCTGGAAGTGAACAGCCCCCTCTTGCTGAGAGAAATTCATTCTTTGCCTTTGTCAGACTTACATTGTAATCAGATGTTTCCCATTGCCTTCTTTCATTTCCCAGTTTAGGGAAAAGTCCTAGTAGGAGCAATCGTTTTTCTGTCCTTTCAGCAGGCAGTGACTAAGAGTCAAATCTTACTTACTTTGGTAGATAGACAAATAGAGGGAAATATTTACCTCTTTCTATTCAATGCTACTGCTGCTCCACCTGCTGACAAAAATGGTGACTTGGAAAGTCACCAAGTTTGTTGAAGAAGAGACTGCTTCCTTCTCACTTCAGCTTTTCCATGCTTTGTGAGTCTTGTATAACTAGGAGAAGCTCTTCAAGGCAGCCGATTTTCTAGTTTGAGCTCAAGTGTGTGTTGGGAGAAGCTTTTTGTTTTTCTGTGATCCTCTATTTTTCCTCCGTATATAAAGACCAGCAAGTAAAAGTAGGAATGGGCAGCAGTAGCCTGTAGGGTGTCAGTCTTTTCTGCCAGGTAACAAGTAACAGGACAAGAGGAAACAGTCTCAAGTTGGGTCAGGGGAGGTTTAGATTGGATATGAGGAAAAATTTCTTCACAGAAGGGTTTGTAAAGCATTGGAACAGACTGCCTAGGGAGGTGGTTGAATCACTATCCCTGGAAGTGTTCAAAAAAGTGTGGATATGGCACGCGAGGACGTGGTTTAATAGTGAACATGGTGGTGGTGCTAGGTTGACAGTGGACTTGATGATCTTAAAGGTCTTTTCCAACCTTAAGAATTCTATGATCCTAACTCTTGAGAAATTAAAGGAAAAGGTCTTCTCACTTCTGACCCTGTGTGGGAGCTCCACTGTAGTTAGAACTTAGGTAGCTTGTAGTGAAGTAGTTAAAAGAAAATGCACTACACTGACCACAAATGGTCATCTCCCACAAAGTTGTTGTCTTCTGTGCATTCTCTTCTGATCACACCTCAATATGGAGTGACCTGAAGCACAGGCCAGGCAGGCTGTAAGAGCTGTGAGCTGCCTCTTGCCTACCCAACCCTCAATGTCAAAGATTGTTCTATATTTCTGTCCTTTATTATTTGAAGGAACTGACCTGCTATGTGATTCGTGACAATGTTAAACTTACTGCCAAAGACCTACTATTTTGTGATTTGATAGCCTGTTTTGCTATCAAGTTTGGTTCTTTAATTCTCATTAGCTGAATATTTTTTGCCCATGGGACTATTTGTTGAGTTACATATAGTGCAGGAGCTTGATTAAGTATTTTCTAAATTATAAATTATCTATCTGCAGGTGGGAAGTGGAAGTTCTTAGCTGGTTGACGTACATTTTAGAATGGAGGTAGGCAGTGGAGTAGTCCCCTTCAAAAGCTTTCCCTAGAGAACTTCATCAGTCAAATCAGCTTTATGAGCCCACTGACTACAACTCCGTCAGTGGGGGATCTGAGAAACAAGTAGATGTGTTGAAGTAAGCAAAGCCTGAAACATTCTGCCCTCATCAGCACTGGCATAGAATTTATGGCACATCATAGAAGAGTCAGCTCAGCAGCCTTGAGCTCAGCAGCTTTAGATATGTTATCAGTACTATCACTTGTTGGTTTCTTTATGAGGAACTTTGTCTGCCACATCCTCACCAGTGCCAGTTTTTTTCAGGAAGCATTGTTCTTCACATCCTCAGAATGTTTAGCTTTGGGATTTGAGACCAATCAGGCTTGTCTCAGCAGTCTCCAACACCAAAAGCAATGTGACTCCCCTTCTAGTGTTTTACCCCCACTTTGGCTACCTCTTGTACGCAGCTTTCTCTTCCAGTTATTTGATGATGCTTTTCCTTGAGTCCATGTGGCCCTTTATTAATTTTATCTGACTTCATTTATTTACTTTCCATCCCATCTGTTGGTCTTTTCTCAAGTAATCCTTTCTGCCTGTTTCTGATTCACCAGGTTCTGGAGGTCTGGGTTCAACCTCTGTTTCTTAGTCTTCCTGGTTGACTTTGGGCAATTCCTTGGGCCTAGATACCTTCTGCAGTCAGTGAAACATCTACACAAAGAGAATTGCATGTAATAGGAGAGAGTTCAGCCCTCCTAAGCTGTTCCCACCTCTCTGAAACTTCCTCCATGTGCCTAAAGGGTATGTCAGAGAGCAGCTGTGGAAATACTTGGTTTGCCAAGGCTCTTGTGGAGTCACTGCGTAGGGTCAGAGATGGTGAGTGGGAAGACGAAAGCTCTCTTGGCTTAATTCTCTACCTGGTTATCACAAGCCTTTTGCTTTAATTGGCTTGGGAGGAGGGTGGAGGTAGCATTTTTGTTTGTCTATTTTTCTCTTCCTTTTGTACTCAGCCATGTGTAGCTTTGCAACAGGTATTAAGACATGCTGTGGTTTTGAAGAAAAAATTGTCAAGAGACTGCATCAGCTGTATAACAGGCATCTCTATAAAGTAACTTCATAGCTTGAAACGTTTTCTTTAGACTTTCTTTAGATGGTAAATTGAAGAGATAGCCAATCACCAACCATATGAAGTTCAACTAAGGGAAATGTCAGATTCTGCACCTGAGTCAAGATAACTTTGATTATGTGTATAGACTAGGAAACAAGAGCCTGGAGAGCAGCCCTGCGGAAAGGGACTGGGGGTCCTGGTCGACAGCAAGTTGAATATGAGTCAGCAGTGCCCTGGCAGCCAGGAGGGACAACCCTGTCCTGGGGGGCATCAGGCAAAGCATCACCAGCCAGTTTAGGGAGGGGATTGTCCTGCTTTACTCGGCACTGGTGCAGCCTCACCTTGAATATTGTGTGCAGTTTTGAGCACCGCAATATAAGAAAGACATGAAGCTATTAGAGAGTGTCCGAAGTAGGGCAATGAAGATGGTGAAGGGCCTTGAGGGGAAGCCATGTGAGAAGCAGCTGAGATCACTTGATCTGTTCAGTCTGAAGGAGTCTAAGGGAAGACTTCATTGCAGTCTACAGCTTCCTCATGAGGAAAAGTGGAGGGGCAGGTACCAATTTCTTCAGTCTCATGACCAGTGTCAGGACCCAAGGAAACGGCATGAATCTGAGTCAGGAAATGTTTAGGTTGGATATCAGGAAAAGGTTTTTCATCCAGAGGGTGGTTGAGCACTGGAAGAGGCTCCCGGGGAAGTGGTCACAGCACCAAGCCTGAGTTGAAGTGTTTGGACAATGCTCTCAGGCATGGGGTATGATTCTTGGGGTGTTCTGAGCAGGGTCAGGAGTTGGATTCGATGACCCTGATGGGTCCCTTCCAGCTCAACATATTTGGTGATTCTATTACTTTATTCAAGTCGTAATTCATAAACGTGTAGCTTTCTTTTCGAGTGCTTTTATCACTCTAAGTCATTATGT